ATTGTTTTTGGTTTGCATGTTCCTACGCCAAGCAGATAGACTGGAGGGTCTCCAGTAGTTAAGCTGATTAAAGACAATTTTTCTTTTCAATAGTTTAGCTGAGTTAGAGGTTTCAGGAAGGAGAGAAGGACAAGCTAGGTTAGGCGTATCCGCCTGAACTTCCATGTGGTGCCTTTCACTACTGAATTAATTCCCCGGATAAAGTGCCCTTTCTGGCAACAAGATAAACAGGTTCATCTAGAGGTTTGGCTCACTGGCGTATAAAGCCCTTCGTAACCGCAGCGCTCACCTCCATCCACCCCAGGCTCCCAGCCCTGGTAGGGTACAGTGGCAGGTATTGTGTGCTCAACAAGGTTTCACACCCACTGGGAATCTGAAACACAGACACTGCTTACACTGCAAAGATCTGCAGACCTGCAAGGCTGGTGCCATGATGGCTGCCTCACATCTGCCCCCACTGGGCTACAAAAAAGATTTCTTTGCCAAACCTCCCTATTCAGACTTCTGAAATGATAGGACAGGTGGAAACCACTGGCTGGGCAGAAGGCTGATGGCCAACACTTCAGAGCAGGGTAGGGCTATGTTGGCATCTTTTAAGAAGTTGATTCTGATAAACCTTTCTTCCATGGTCATTCCTATTTTTAGGACAGTTCCACACCTTCCAGAGCCTCTGCTATCCTTCCCTTCTTGAAGAGACAGTTGAAGTGTTTTACAATGACTCGTCAAATGTTCTTATATTTGTTTGGGTTTTTCCAACAAGGAGATTTAGTTTGGGCCTTTTAATTTTTTTTCAAGCACATACACATTAGGACAGGAGCACTGAAATATTTATAGGTATAATAAAAAGCATTCAGTACACTTGATTATTTGCTCATATACATAAAGAGCAAACTGGCCATTGCCTCTGCCTCTAGGCTCTTATTTAAGTTAATGTAGAAGGCCTTGCAACAGAACAGATGAGCCACTGAAAGTGAGCCATTTATTTTAGCCATGAACTTTATTCTGTTGCTTGATGTGAATTAGAGTCCAGGAAACTTAGAAACAGTATTATTCTGTCCTTGGAGATAAAACACCCATTTTCCCATGATTTCAAAGGTTTTGATCACCCACAAACATACAATCAAATCATTTTCAATAAATGCACCAAAGCAGTTATAGGAGGAAATGAAAGTCTTTTCGGCAATTGCTGCTAGAACAATCAGATAGCCCCATGACAAAAGAAAGAAAGAAAAAGAAAGGAAGGAAGGAAGGAAGGAAGGAAGGAAGGAAGGAAGGAAGGAAGGAAGGAAGGAAGGAGAGTGCTTATGTTGGGCTAAACTAGTATCTTACTTTAGAGTTCTCCTGAACCTAGGTATAGCCCTAAGTTTTTTTCTGGTATCAGGGAAAAAAAAGAAAGAAGAAAGAAAAGAAAAAAGAAAAGAAAAGGAAAGAAAGAGAAAGAAAGAAAAAAGAAAGAAAGAAAGAAAGAAAGAAAGAAAGAAAGAAAGAAAGAAAGAAAGAAAGAAAGAAAGAAAGGACAACAACGATGACAACAACCACCTCAACCCTTACCTCAACACCGTTCACAAGAATTAATTTGAAATGTGTCAGAGATCTAAATGGAAAAGCTTAAACTATACAAGTTTTAGAGAAAAATATCTCCAAGACTCAGTTTTTTAGTTCACAGAAAGTAATAACCATGAAAAACAAATTGATAAACTGATCTCCATCAAGTTAAAAACTTCTGCGCCTGGAAAGACAATGTTAAGAAAATAAACGGGCAAGCTGTGGATTGGAAGAAAATATTATGACGTATATATCTGCAAAGAACCTGTATCTAAAATACACAAAGAACTCCTAAAATTCAATACTAAAAAGACTAACAACCCAATTTTAAAGTGGGCAAGGGACTTGAACAGAGACTTTGTAAAGGAAGATATAGAAATGATTAATAAGCACATGAAAAAGCACTTAACATCAGTTGTCATCAGGAAAATTCAAATGAAAAGAACAAGGAGAGATGTCACTATCCATTAGAATGGCTAAAAACAAATTTTTTAAATTAACACTACCAAATGTTGGTGAGAATCCAGAGCAACCAAAGCTCTCAATTGCCCCTGAAAATGTAAGGTCATTCACCTACTTCAGAAAACTGGCAGTTTCTTATAAAGTAAAACATGCATCTACCTGATATACATCATTTCCAATTCTATTTGTTTATCCAAGAGAGATGAAAACATGTTCACAAATTGTGTCTGCTAGTTTCCTTCCTCCCTATCTTTATCCATGTCATTTCCCTTTTTCCTGTCCCCGTCCCTGATTTCTGCATGTACAACCTTAAGGAATGTTCTGGATTAAGGAGCCTTGCTGGCTCCATTCCCTAAAGGAATCTCTTTATCCTCCAAATCTCTTCGGTACTCTTTTCTATGTTTCTTTTAGAACATCATTGTCAACATTGTATTATAGTTATATATGGCACATCCCCATCTAGTCTGTAAGCTCCCATCTGACATGATCTCTCTGTGTCTGATTTACCTTTGCACCCACTTGGGGCTTTACACAAGTTGTTTTGATCTAGTATTGAATGAGTGACTATGTGGGTATATATTCATCCTATGACATAGTGGACTTAAGGTGAGAAGATCTTGGTCCAAGTCCTTTCTCTGATCTTACTTGCCTCTATTTGATGATAAAAAACTGAATGACTGTAGTAGACTGTTACTATGGTGACCTTCAATAAACTATGCCACCTAACTTCCCTGCCCTTGTGTAGTTCCTTCCCACATTGACTCAAGGCTTGGCCATGTGTCTTGCTTTGACCAGTGAAACATTAGCAAACAAAGTTTTGATGAGCATGGCACATTGGGGCACTGAGGAGGAGGGGGTCTTATCTTGGACTGCTGGCTCCTGGCAGCCCTGAGCTGCCATGTAAAAACTCTGACTACCCTGCTGGAGAGACCATGTAAGGAGGCCATGTGAAGATAGAGAGTCCTTGACCCTACATAGAGAAAAGGAGGCCAGCCATCTCAGCATCCCAGCTGAGCCTAGTCCAGATTACTGTTGTTTTAAGCCATTATTAGGTTTTGGAGTTTACAGGTAGGTGGGGGAATGAAGGCAAAAATAGCCTCTGCCTCTCCAAAAGGATGGTGGAGAGGGAGTCCCTTCTTTTGTGAAGAACAATATAATAGAATTGAGGGATTTGGAAAGTTTATGAGAGACCATTAGCTCCATGCCCAGCTCAGACACCTTCCCTGGACTCCTTCCCCTGACATAAGTGCTCATTTCACTTCCATCTATCCATTTTTCCTCTTTTAAGACTATATTATAATGTTGACATATATGCCAAATGCTAATCTACATGCTCTCGAGAGTCAGAATTATCTTATTCACCTTTTTCTCCCCAGTCCCTGCATAGTCCCTGGCATATAGTTGATGCTCAATAAATGTATGTGGCATTAGCTAAAAATCTGATGTTCTTTGGAACTGGCTAAAATCTGAAATATTATAACACCACCTCACTTAGAATGTTCCTTACCTTTTTGTCTTAATTTTGAAGTGGGGAAAACTGTACAGATCATTCGATCGTATGTCCTATTATGAGGAAACTGCAGCTCAGAGAGGGAAAGGCATCTGCCAGAAGTCACTCTGCCTGGTGCACCCTGCGCCCATGTGGCCCTCCTGGTGTCCTGGCTTCCAGGTGCCTTCTCTCTTACACTTCCCTCCTGGGGGCTCCAGGGAGGTAGAACCTACCAAGACTCCACCACATCACACCCCAGGGACTTAGCCTTTATAGAGGTCTTTATGTCTCACTGAAAGAACATTGTCTTTAAATTGTGCCCATTCTTTCTTGCAGGCAGTTCCCCGGATTGTGCTACCCGAATCTTAGCGAGGAGGTGCGGGGAGAAAGGGGAAGAACCTGCTTGCCTGGAGGTCTCTAAGCCTGGATGCCATAGCCCCCCGCCCCAAGGCTGAGACGGGGCTCCACCAGCGCTGGAGGAGGCGGTTCAAACTGACAGAGGGAGCCCCTGCTGCTATTGCAAGGAACGTTGAGGCTCCTTTAAGGAACCCTTTACAAGATTATTTTAATTGCCGTGCAGACCTTGTAACTTGACCCAGGGAGGTCCTCTGTACTCTCCTAGAGAAAGTATTCCTAAAATCCCATTTAGTGTGTGCGTCTCACTTCTGCCCTCATTCAATTTCAGGCAACTGTGTATCCCTATTAATACCCCCATGACAGTGTGGGAAATAGTTTGTAGTGCTTTGTCCCCGGCTCCCCTTTCCACTCTATTTTCTGTATCTCATTAGAATTTACAGCAAGTAGCTTTTCCTTTTTTCTTTTTTTTTTCTCTTTTCTTCCTCCCCCCTCCCCCGCCTCTCTCCCCCCTCTCCCCGTGGTTGTGGGAGCGGGTCTGGAGAGGAGGTGATGAGCTTGACTGGAGCCAGGAGAAATATTTAGAAGAGTATTTACCTTCAATTCGATCTAAACCCATCGTTCTCAAACTTGGCTGCTCATTGGAACCACCCGGGAGCTTTAAAACCTAATGATGCCTGGATGTCAGCGCAGGGGTCTGACTTAATTGATCTGGGATATGATCTGGCATCGAGATTTTTCAAACTCCTCAGGTTATTACCAGGTTGAAAACTACTGAGATATAGTCCTCATTTCTTTTTGTACCCTGAAAAAGTCAGACTCTCAGTTCAGGTCGATGTCCCAGGGGATGTGGCACCTGTCCATTTGCAGCCTCCAGCTCTGCATGGTCCGGAAAAATCTGAGCGCGCGACTACGATAAACAGGCGGCAGCGGGGAGGACGGAATGGGCGGGGTGGTGGGCGGGGCCGCGCCTTGTCCCGCCCCCTGCACGC